AAGTGCATACTCTTTGTCGTCATCAATTGTGCAGATCTCAAAGTACTATAAAAGTCATTACGTCGTATAAGACACTGATCTGTTTCTTCGATCTTAATTTAAAAAACTGAGCTTTGCGTGCACTGGAAACGGTACACAAGGCAGAGAAGCTATTAAGACTTCATAATGACGAGCAGCTTATTAAAGACTTCGCAAATGTTATTTTTGAAGGTGGAAAAGATCCTTAAGACTTGGCCCAATTGATATAAATAATTTGAAAATAGGCATCTCCTATATATAAGTAAAAGAACCACAATAATTAGATATTTAAAACAATTTCGAAAGGAAATTTATATAAGGTATCTAAAGATAATTTCATTGCAACGTTTCCAGCAGATATCGTGCGTGAATGCTTTCTCATCCTCGAACATATGAGTTTGGTTCGATTTTGAATAGTGCAAGTAGTACCGTGTGATACTGAATAAAATTGTGATAGCTTCATTTCCATGTACTATCTTTACACTATACAGACGCGTTCAATCGTATGAAAGTACGAAAATGAAAGCTACATAACGTAGCTGCTTGGGGCTTTAGGCATGTGTAGTTCTGTGTCAAAAAACGCCATTTAACGCAAACTTTACTTTTTCTGCTTAATTCGAAGGATGGTGTTGCTAAACTCTTACGAATGACGGCGGCTAGGTGTGTCACGATATTCCAAGTAAAAAAAAACCATGATGTAGATTAGGTGAACCGCCAACATCGACGGTAAAGTTTCATGTCCATGGCGGGTTATTGTGGTTTGCTCCAACCGAATGAAACCATCAACAAACACCGCTACCAATGATGTTGATGTAATTATTATAACAAATATGGGCATAATAAGGCAGAGTTTTCAGTATGAAGAAATTTGACCTCATATAGGGAAACTCGCTCTACAAATATTTGTAACCTTAACATGCAGCCTTTCAACTGACCCTGGTTTTAATAGCTTGCTTGTTATTTGTTCGAACAGCGTTTCGCTTCTATTTTTAGTTTGAAAATTGCCTGAGGGATGAGAAATAGTAGCAGCCAGCGACAGACAGTACTTTAGTTAATATGTTCATTCGTTTTGTTCTAATAAATGCACATACATGATCACAACAAGAAAAAAAGAAACGGACCGAACCAATTTATACTCCCAAGACATTAGAAGAATTCGTATCTGACATTCTGGAGACTTTTCGCAAAGATTAGTGACTTTCGCTGATATGTTATTATAGCTCGCAATATTTGTGCAAATAATTGTTTTAATTATCGCATTGTCCATTGTTCATTTTCAAATTGTTAACAATAATAAGAGCATACAACAATTTTGCCTCGAATGTTAATAGGTATTGTTATGAATAATAACTCCCGCCTACGTTTAATTATCTTATAAAGCTACACATAAATCGATAATGCTGATGAAGGGAAAATGAGAATCGGAAATGGTTACCGGAATTTCGCTTTTGCAGTATTGGTAATCCACTATTAAGCGATTTAATAGAAAAAACTCCAAATAAACTTCACGAGCAGCTACACCCTCACGAGCGTATACACCCTTAATGACGGCCGAATATTTCCTTTTACGAGGAGACTTGTAAAACTTAGTTTTTAATTTAAAAATTAAACTCTTTGTTATTGTCTTAAGATATACTTTAAACCCGTTCAGTACACGAAAGACATTTTGTCCTTAAATTTTCAGACCCCCTTTCTCCAACGCACCAGAAAGTTTTTCCCAATGAAATAAATCTCTTCTAAACAGTTGCATTCTAATGTCTTGTCTAGTGATTTTTAGTTTCCCCATTGCACTAACAGATGCCTTCAGAAATTACAGGCATATAATAGCATTTCTAAGCAAAAGTACGTAGGTCTACGAGCGATTCAAAAAAAGTCAGTCTTTCTGTTCAGAATTAGCCGTCCCCCTCCACCCCCTCGTGCGATTCCATCTTTGGTGGATGCGACGAAATCGACAAGCTCTGGTGTAAAGACAATTTTATAATAGGAAAGTGGTAAACGAATGGTACAGAGTTTCAAAATCTTTTTTTCGAAAAACGAACTTCAACTTATAGGAATAATTTTAAAGTAACTTTCCAAAGAGCAGTGCGTAGGTTGCTTTCACTAAGTTTTTATTAAAAAAAAGTTCGTTTTTTAAGTCGCAAATTGCATTTTTTTCATTCCTTCATTCTTTGAAGGTTTTCTTCTAAATTCAAGGCGTGTCCAATTTTCCCCATTTTTTTCCAGGTAGATTATATCTTCAAATTTTTCTTGTTGCATCGATTGTAGTTTAAAAGTAATTCGCAGAAAAGCAAATTGTTTTTGTTTTTGAAAACCGAGTTGGTCTCAAATTATCTTGCATTGTGATCGTGTCTTGTAGCCGGATATTTCCATTTTTAATACCGACCTGCGTGCAAAAATTTGCGATGTTTCTGGCGAGTTTGAGGCCGATGGATTCATTTGAGCGACCAGGGCAGACAGACGGACATACTTTAATTGGTTTAGAATTTGATGCTGATCAGAAATACACATAATGTATGGGGTCTTAGAAACTTTCCCCTTCGGCGTTACAAAAGCTCGTTTGGATAAAATGAAAAAACGAAGTCAATAATAGAAGAACTATTCGGCTCGAATTGAGTGTTACATGCACTTTGTCTTTCACATGTTTTCTTTTGTCTTTTAAATGTCGCTTGACAAACGAAACATTTTTAAAGCAATTTGAAAGATGACTGTCTAATTCGCAGAGATGAAATTCGAATTGCACTGCACGACTTTGAAACACGAAATGTACAGCATCTATTATCTTCTACTATATTAAATTGCATATATATATATATATATATATATATATATATATGATTGTAGGAAATTTGCGAACAAAATAGAGGAAAGGTCAACTAATGTATAGCACGGTTGCGAGTCTTCAGATCATACTTTAAGGGGAAATTTATTTAGTAAACATGAAGCTCAGAATTTTTCGAAATTATTCACAAAACACTAAGCACAGTTTGAAGAAGAACATTTTTAGACAGGTTTCAATCTATTTTGCAGTACTTAAAATATTTTTTGATGTTTTTTTTTCTTTTTTAAGCGTGTGAATGCCCGAGTACGCAGAGGAGCTCGAGTACCAACTTAATGTTCGCGGGCTCAAATCTCAAGTGCGGTAGAGTTTTCAATAAAGCCGATGATAGCCTTAGACACTAGATCCTTAAAACTTTAATCTGAGAAAGTACTTCTCTGCCGCTAAATTAGTGTTAATAACTGATAATAATCACTGATAATATCCTTTCAACATCCTTCTTCTTTTTTTGCAACATCTCCTTGCTCTTATTCCCTTAGATGTGAACTTTCCATCTAAAACAGTTGAAAAAATTGCGTGAAATATTATTCAAGATATAGCGAATGGCGGGCGATTTTTCGAAAATGTCATCTTTTCTGTTTTATTTATTTATTTATTTATTTTTGTATTTTTTTTGATAATATTAGATTTTAAAAATGGCATCGATTTTAAACAACAACTCTGTCACGCTTTGGCTTGAAAGTTCATTATAGTTAACCAATAAAGAAAATCATATTCACTACGAAAAATAACTATTACGAATTTATAGCTAAAAGTTAAAGTCCATTTAATTAAGTATTGAAGGCATTAAGAATATGACGGAATTTTAAATGCATAAATATCGAGAAGAAAGTGACTAAGAGATTCTAGTGCTGGCAGCTTCAAGTATTTTCAAGTGATGCTTCACTCGAAACGTCCACTTTCTAGGCCAAAACTGCCCATAAAATCTTTTGCATACGATTTTTCGATACTTGGAGGAAAAAAAACATTCAACAAAGAGAAAAAAAAAATTCAAAAACAATATTTTAATAAAATGAAATTCAGGACGACTTTATAACGTTCTAAATATAATCCGAATAAAATAAAATTGAATTTTATCGCAGTACTTATGGACAAATTGAGGGGAAAAAATTCGCTTTTAAGCACACAAACTCCGAAGAATGGGCCACTGTGAATAACCTCGTCACCAAGGTGTTCCAGGAGTTAAAACGGTTAGGGAGACAGTAAATGGAGATAAAAGGGAGGGGAACGCAAAATAGATTTTGCCTTGACACATGGAGCGTCGTAACTGCAACCAGCCTTCGCGAAACAATATCTAACGGCGGTCCCGCGGAGGTAAGTGATCAAGGTAACGTGCGGATATCTCTAAAGGTCGGGGTAGATTTAGTACGTAAGCGCGAAGGGTGGCGGATTGTACATGCTGCTAATGCAGACCAGCAGTATCTTTTGAAAATTTCGACCTTCACACACACACACACGCACACACACACATACATATATATATATATATATATAAATGCATATATACACACACACATATACATATCACGAACATATATATACATGCATGCACGCACACGCTCACACGTAGTCAGGCAGACAGATAGTCGTAGAGATACGATCGCAATTTCTCTTATCAGATAGATAGACGCGGCTAGTAATACCGCTGTAGCGATATCATTTTATAAAATTTGTATATATGGATCTTTATACATACACATATGAAAATCGTTTATTATTTTAATGCACGTTGCGATGAGCATACATACGAAAATGTCTAATTGGAAAACACTATCTAAGCGAAATTTCTTATACACAATGCTACTGGAAATCGTTCAACCATAATGCTGTTAATTGTTTGCCTATAATCACAATCATTTAATGAATTAATTAAATTTATGATGATAACAAAAAGAACAAATGTTCAGCGCGCACATTTAAACCATTTCGATACTATCGTTCCGGAAAAAAGTGAAAAGTAAAAAAGGAAAACAAAACAAAACAAAACAAATATTACCTGTAATGAATTAAAATATTTAATTAAAAATTATAGGTAAAAAAGATAAGAAAAAAATTAAAGCAAAACAAATCAAAACATTATTATTATTACAATTGTTATTATTACATAATCAATGAAATTGAATTCAATTATAAATGCATTACTTACCCATTATATGAAATGCAGAACAATAAAAGACTTTGCCTACTCGGAGAACTCGAACAGCACCAGCATGTATGTGATGTAAAATATTTAATTTACTCAGTGATAGAGACAGTGGTAATTGAAAAAAGCACGCACTTATACACACTCATGGAAGAAACAAATGCATACAAAATTAAAAAAAAAATAAAAAACAAAAAAAAAACAAAACTGAGCCCATTAGTCCATAAAAAGTAATACGCTTTAGAAATTCTGCTGTAATACTGAATATTAGTTAGACGACACAAATAAAATGCACACACACACACACACAAATTTATAAAAATCTGCGTATTAACGACAAAAGCGATTTATTTTCTCTTTTTTTTTTTACTTTTTAATTTACTGATATTTTTATTTATTTTAATTATTTTTTTTATTTATTTATTTTTTTTTTTTTTTTTTTTTTTTAAATTACTACGATACAATAGGCATAAAAATAGGAACAACTTACAAATGTTGTTATGATAATTACCGAAAAATGTGAGAAAAAAAAATTTTTTTCAAGATATAATTTTTTTTTTTTTTTTACTTTTCACAATTTTAATGTAATAAGTAAATAAAGAAAAGTCTAATTTAATTAAGAAAACATTTTTTGATATGTTTTTTTTTTTTAAGTTTTTAATTATTATTTTATTTTTTTCTTCTTTATTTGGAAAAAGAACTGAATTTAAATAGTTGTTAAATTAATTATTAATTTTTGTGGAAATCGTTTTCTTCACAACCGTTCAAATTTAAGCGAGCGGATATTTTTGTTTTTTTTTTTTTTTTTTAAATTATTACATATGTTTTCATAGCATACTTGAATATTCTTAAGTTATTACTTATTATTTTTGTTCATTTGTTTATACTTAATTTAATTCCATTTAATTAACACATACACTTAATAAATGATATGAAATAGGAGTATAATCCTTAACACAAAAAAGATTGTAGCATACTTTGAAGGGCTTAACATAAAGTCTTTATTTAATTGGTATCGTTTTTTATTTATTCATTTATTTTTTGTGCGGTTTTTTTTTTCTTTTTAAGTTTCAACTTGAGAGTTAAATTTTTTATTGTTCTCTTTTCATCTGAAATGAGAAGAAGAAATTAAAAGCTATTAAAAGAATTGAAATTTAATTTTTTAAATTATTCATTACAAACAAAAAAACAAAAACAAAACAAAATAAAAGGAAAAGCAAGTAAGAAGATTTCTAACCCTTGAAGCTGGCTCTAAAGATTGCTAGTTATTTTAATAATTGTGGGCGTGTCAGTCAATTAATTGGACCTATATTTTAATGTCAAAATTTTAGATTATTCGGAGAAAAATTTGCATTCGATTTCAGATTTACATCGCTCAGAGATACTCCTCTTCTGGTGCTGATGCATGATATCTGATCGCTCTGATTGTTAAAATTGTTAATATGGATTTTCTTTAGGTTTGATGTCATGTGCCTTTTTCTCCATGCGATTCTTGCAAATATACCAACAATTTTAACGGAAGACGGGATAAGGACTCGGTCAAGTAAATTCACGGAAGTTGTTTTTAAGCTCTCTGAAGCATACTTCTATAAGTTGCAGCTGATTGCAGCAATTGTTTTTTTCTACGCACAATTTATGAGGAAAGTTTGAAAATATCCAGGAACACTACAGTATCCTGATAGGAGTTACAAATGTAACCACAAAAAAAAAAGATTAGAAGTAAAAGAGATATTATGCTTGGCTGGGAACGGAGTTTTTAACGCCTATTAGTAGACTGCCTGTAAAAGTATTAAAAATCTTTAATAAATTCTAACCATTATATCATATATGCTATCGTTTATAAACAAGTAGTATTAATAGCCGAAATTAAGGAATCCGACAATACGATAAATCATAATTTTTTGTATTAATTAAAAACTACTTTTAAGAATTCGATCTTCTTTGTCTATGGCATGGCTCTGGCAGGAGCCTCCTGGTTTAATAAATTTTTCAAAATTAATACTAGAGACAGTTTACTATAAATATAACGTAAAACGAAACTAAAGCTCAGCATAAAATTTTAAAATCTTATTTAAATGAAGAAAAAAAAAAAAAAATTATATAGTTTTTCTTGCTTAGGGACATTGAGACGGTTTTAACAGGCGGAGAGATTAGGAAACTAATAATTCCGCTTTTTGGTTATATTGACCAAAATGAAATATCCATACAAGTTTTTTAGCCTTTACTTTGCTTATATTAGATGAGAAGAAAAATTTATTACACATATTTGTTATTGTCAAATAAATAATGAGAGATGAAGCTATTTGCTAATGAAAAGTAATAAAATTCTAATAGTAATACAATATTTACCACACGAACTAAGCCAAATGCTATAAAAGACATGGAAGGATAGCAGATCGCGAAATAGAAATCGATCCAGCGTTCTATGAGAGTTAGTCCAAAATTTAAACAGACAGACGGACAGATACCTTTTACTCATGCTGATTAAAATATTCTACGAAAAATAAATCAATTACTAAAAGTGAAATCAGCAGAGTAAAGAAAAATGAAATTAAAAAATAAAAACAAACTCAAGTTAAACTTGAAAAAATAACAATAAATAATTAGTTAAGAGAAAAGGCTAAAGGAACAAATAAAAATTTTTGAAACAAGTTTGATAAGCACTTTTAAGAAATTTGATTTAAATAGGTCAGCTGTAGGGTGAGTGGGTTACAATTTTCTCACTGTTTTACTCGTTTTCTTGATAGTTTCTATCCTTTTCCACATTGACCATCTAATCAAAATACATGTAAGGCAGACTTTCTAGTCGTCTATTGTGACTTTGTGAAAACGGGCAGCGAGACAAAGACTCAGACTTTCTTTAAAGATCGCTCAATTTGCGTAGGACTTTCGGCCACTTGAGCACAGATCATACAGAGACACACAACCTGTAAACTTTTTGTAGAGTTTTTCCGAAGCAAAAAAAGGCAGCTTGCTGAGTCAGTTCTTCTAAGCTGATAAGCTATTCTTACATTTGCGGTAAACGGAAAAAAGTTCGAAAACTTATAAAAATTATAATTATATTTTTTTTTTTTTTTATTTCATTTTATTCTTGTAAAGAAAAAAAAAAATTTTTTTTTTGCAGTGAAATCAACCTTAATCAGTCTCAATTCGTCTTTGAAATTAATGTTTAATTTTTTTTTTTTTTTTACTTTCGAAAACATATATCTTGTCCGATTTTTATATAGTTCAGATTTTTCCTGTGATAATGTAAAAAAAAAAAAAGAAGAAAATTATCCTTTTACCTTACTGACACTTTAACAAATTTAGACCCTAGGGTTTCACTTCATCTGTTCTTCATCATATAAATAAAAGCCTAGAAAAGAAAAAAAACTTGAAATAAAAATTACGTAAATATATTGAAAAACCGCCGGTTGTGTTTAACTGTGAAGTAAAGACAAATTTCAAAAATTAAAACAATATAATTTGTCTCTATTCACACCTGAAATGATGCTAATGATGCTTTTTTGATTTTATACAACTTCCTAAAAGTACATCTCATTTTTCTAAATCTCCCTCTCCTCAGCTTAAAGTCCCTGTGATCTGTCTTTAAAACAAAATGAATCCTTTAAACGTTAACGGATAAGTTATAAATAAGAACATTAACATTAAAATTGTAGATTAAAACTAAAAGCTCTAAACAATTCCATTAAAAAAATATGTTTTCTTTTCTTTTTTTGTTTTGAACAATTAATAATTAACCTTTTATTAAGCCATAATTAAGAATTTCATAATTTTTTATGTTTTGTTTTTTTGTTAATTTGGGTAACACATACGAAATATTTATTTATTTATTTTTTTTTTCTGGATTTAATTATTCAACACCTTTTCCGCGTACAATTTTCAATTGATAAGATTTGAAGTGTTTCGCTTGCAAACTTTCTTAAACTTTAGGTTAACCGTTTTGGGTTTGTGACAGGTCAGTTCATAGTGAATTCAAGAATGTTTACTTTAACGAAAGTAAGCTTGATAGAAAAAGGTTTTTGCTTATTAAGCTTTATTACGCAGTTTTTATTTATTTACTTTATTTACTTTTTTTTTTTAAATTTTTATTTATTTATTTATTAATAATTTTTTTATTTTTATTTTTTTTTTAATTTTTTTTTTTGTTTTGAATTTTCGATTTTATATTAAGTTTCACAAATGCGTTTATTCTTCTTCTTTTCTATTTATTTTGTTTCTAAAGTAAAAATTTCTCTCCTATGTAAATGTTATTATTGTTATTGTGTGTATTGGCATCCGTTCGTAGCCGTTATTCGCGTAAAACTGATCCTTTGAATGCCGAAAAAAGCGCATTGGTCCTTTTTAACTAAGCCATCAAACGAAATGCATTCCAGGCAACACGATGTTGCCAGAGACGAACGATATGCCACAACTTGTAATATAAGCCAACGATTTCGACGACCAAGAACGAACCTAAATATACGAGTTGTCTGTATGGCAATCCAAAGCAAATATTGTACCAATGCCGGCTTCTCTACAAACATACAACATTTGTGTAACTAACTTTGTATATATAAGTAGAACGAATAGTGTTGCTAGCAACGAAATTGCAGACGCAAAAGAAAACAATATATATACGTTTGTATATAACAATACGTATTAAGTACATATACACATATATATAAGTATGTGTATTTAGCCGACATCATTGTGACAAGTAAAAGATTACGCAGCAAAATAAAAAGTTTTCAAGTTTCTCGTTTCTCGCTATTCTTATTCCTTTCGTATTTATTTATTTATATATTTTTTCATTTCTCAAGTGTAGCATATTACATCGAAACATTGTGCAAACTTTACAATTAAAACAAAACAATTTATATTTACACCCATCTTAAAATGTATTAACTAATTTCCGCAATTACCAAGACGAAGTGCGATAAGATAGCGTAGCGCTGTATATACTCCATACTCTGAGGAGAGTGTAAATTTTAAAAATTAAAGCATATTTTAAAGGATAACAACGATTTTCTTTTCAAGTTTCAATAATATTTTGTGATTGTAAAATGCAAAATTTAATCGTAATTAAATTTTTTTTTTACATTAGGTTATTGTATTACAACTGAAACGCAAAAACAACACAAGATAAATATGTAAACACGAGCCAACATGTTGTTTTGAATTCGCCGTAAGTTACAATAAAAACATATGACACGAAATGCAATAGATAAAAAAAAAAAAAAAAAAAAAAAAATGAAGGAAAACAAACAAAATGTTTCGAAAGTTTATTTTAATAATTTTTTCTATTGAAAAATTGTTAAATTCTTTAAACTATCGAGGCTTGTGTGTGGAATTTTTGTCTATGCGAAACGAAAATGTTCCATTTTTCATTCAAATCAAGTGACCGTTATATTCTCATTCATTCATAATTTATGAAAAGCT